TTGTATTGAATGGCACCCCAAAGAAGCAAAATATACATTCTTTTCAAACACACATGGATCATTTTCAAAGATAGACCCTATGGTAGAACATAAAACAAGCCTCAATAAATTCAAGAAAATTGAAATCATATCAAATGTCTTCTCAGATCACAATGGCTTGAAACTAGAAAGTGAACTCAAGGAAAAAGTTGAAAAACATATAAATACATGGAGATTGAATAACATGTTATTAAATAATGAATGGGGTAACAATGAGATCAAGAAAGAAATTAAAGGTATCTGGAAACAAATGAAAATGAACTAACAATAACCCAAAACCTATGGGACACAATGAAGGCAGTCTTGAGAGAGAAGTTCAAAACAATACAAGCCTACCTAAAAAAGACAGAAAAATCTCAGATAAACAACCTAACCCTGCATCTACCACAACAAACAAGGCCCAGAGTGAGGAGAAGGAAGGAAATATAATCAAGATCAGAGCAGAATTAAATGACATGGAGACTAAGAAAACAATTCAAAGGATCAATGAATCCAGGAGCTAGTTTCTTGAAAACATAAACAAAATTGACAAACCTTTAACCAGACTCATCAAGAAAAGAAGAGAGAGGGCCCAAATAAAATCATAAACAAAAGAAGAGAAGTTATGAGTAATACCACAGAAATACAAAGAATTGTAAGAAATTACTATGAACAATTATATGCTAAAAATTAGACCAGCTAGGCAAAATTGATACATTTCTAGAAACATACAATCTTCCAAAACTCAATCAAGAAAAAGTAGAAAGCTTGAAAAGACTGATAACTACTAGAGAAATTGAAGCAGTAATCAAAATGTCCCAGCACACAAAAGCCCTGGACTGGATGGCTTCACAGGTGTATTTTACCAAGCATTCAAATTAGAACTAACTCTTATCCTTCTCAAACTATTCAAAAAATTCAAGAAGAGGGAGGACTCCCCAACTTTTTTATGAGGCCAGTATTATCCTAATTCCAAAGCCAGGTGAAAACACAACAAAGAAAGAAAAGTATAGGCCAATATCTCTGATGACATAGATGCTAAAATTCTCAACATCATATTGGCAATCCAGAACCAGCAGTACCTTACAAGGATCATATACTATGATCAACTGGGATTCATTCCAGGGATGCAAGGATGGCATTATATTTGCAAATCAATAAATGTAATATACCACATAAACAAAATGAAAAGAAATCATGATCATATCAACAGATGCTGAAAAAGCATTTGATAAAATCCAGCACCCATTTATGATAAAAATTCTCAGCAAAATGGGAATAGAGGGAGCATACATCAACATAATAAAGGTCATACATGAGAAATGTACTGCCAACATCATACTCAATGGGCAAATATTAAAGCTTTTGCCTTAAGATCAGGAATAAGACAAGGGTGTCTGCTTTCACCACTCTTATTAAAAATAGTACTGGAAGTTCTAGCTATAGTGATCAGACAAGAAAAAGAAATAAAAGGCATCCAAATAGGAAAAGAGGGAGTAAAAATGTCATTTGAGATGACAATAGTATGCATAGAAGACCTTCTAGTCTCCACAAAAAACTATTTGACCTAATAAGTGAATTTGGCAAAGTAGTGGGATACAAAGTCAATATTCAGAAATCAATGGCATTTTTGTACACCAACAATGAACTGTCAGAGAAACTAAGAAAACAATCCCATTTACTATAACAAGAAAAATAAAGTACCTAGGAATAAATTTAACCAAGGAGGTAAAAGACCTGTCCTTAGAAAACTATAGAACCCTGAAGAAAGAAATTGAGGAAGATACAAATAAATGGAAGAATATACAGTGTTTGTGGGCTGGAAAAATTAATATCATTAAAATGTCTATACTACCCAAAACATTCTATAGATTCGATGCAATTCCTTTTAAAATACCAATTGTGTATTTCACAGATCTAGAACAAATAGTTCAAAAAATTTGTATGGAACCAAAAAATACCCCAAATTGCCACAGCAATCTTGAGAAAGAACAAAGTAGGAAGGATCACAATACCTGATATCAAACTACACTACAAGGCCACTGTAATCAAAGCAGTCTGGTACTGGCATAAGAACAGACACATAGATCAATGGAACAGAATAGAGAGGCCAGAAATAAACCCATGTCTCTATGGTCAATTAATATTTGGCAAAGGGAGCATGAGCATACAATGGAGTGAAAATAGCCTCTTCAGTAAATGATGTTGGCAAGACTGGACTTGTATGTGCAGAAAAACAAAACTAGATCTCCAACTTACACTGTGTACCAGAATAGACTCAAAATGGATAAAAGGCTTAAATATAGTTTGTGATACCATAAAAGTCCTAGAGAAAAACACAGGCAGTAAAATTTTAGATATCCCATGTAGCAATATTTTTGCCTATATATCTCCTAGGGCAGGGGAAATAAAGGAAAATATAAACAAATGGGACTACATTATATTTAACAGCTTCTGTGCAGCTAAAGAAACCATCACCAAAATGAAAAGGGAACTGGCTGCATAGATATACATATTTGTCAAGGATCTACCAGACAGGGGTTTAATCTCCAAAATGTATAAAGACCCATACAACTCAATACCAGGAAGACAAACAATCCAATTAATAATGGGCAAAGGACTTGAATAGATACTTCTCCAAGGACATACAGAGGGCCCTTAGACATATGAAAATGTGCTCAACATCACTAGCCATCAGAGAGATGCAAATTAAAACCACAATGAGTTATAGCCTCACTACTGTCAGAATGATCATCATTAATAAATCAACAAATAACAAAAGTTGGTGAGTATATGGACAAAAGAGGACCCTAGTGCACTGTTGGTGGGAATGCAGACTAGTGCAGCCACTGTGGAAAACAGTATGGAATTTCCTCAGAAAACTAAACATAGAACTGCCTTTTGACCCAGCGATTCCATTGCTGGCATTATACCAAAACACCAATTCAAAAGAATGTGTGCATCCCTATGTTCATAGCCGCATTATTTACAATAGTCAAGTGATGGAAACTAAGTGCCCATCAATAGATGAGTGGGTAAAAAAACTCTGGTACATTTACACAATGGAATACTACACAAGCAGAAAGAAAGAAGGAACTCCTACCTTTTGCCTCAGCATGGATGGAACTGGAGAATATTATGCTAGGTAAAATAAGCCAAGCAGTGAAAGACAAATACTATATGATTCACTTATAAGAGGAATCTAATGAACAAAATAAACGAATGAGCATAATAGAACCAGAGGCATGGAAAAATGGAACAGACCGACAACAGCAAGAGGCGAGAGGGGAGGGTGATAATAGTAGAAAGAAAGGGAAGGGACTAGTCAAAGAACGTGTCTGAATGACCCATGGACACGGACAATGGGAAGGGAATGACTGTGGGAGCTGGGGGTGGGCTGGGTGGAGTAGTGCAAAGCAGGAAAAATTGGGACAACTGTAATAGAATAACAATAACAATAAAAATAAATTAAAAATAAAATAAATTTTGTAAAAAAACATTAAAAATAATAAAAGGTATAGCTTTGCTTTGGCTGAGTTGTTCAGTTGGTTGGCGTACCCTCCCATACCTCAAAATGTTGTGGGTTTGATCCCTGGTCGGGGCACGTATACCAGGAACTCAGTCGATGTTTCTCTCCCACATCAATGTTTCTCTCTCCCTCCACCTTCCTTTCTTTCTAAAATCAATAAACATATTATGGGGTGAGGATTCAGAAAAAAGGTATAGCTTTGGGTCTATAAAGCTAGAATACACAAGTAATTTTTCTAAAAGGCAGGAGAGGGGCTAGGGGATTTAAGAATTAAAATACCAGAAAATATACTCCAAACAGAGTAGCTAAAAAATGAGTTTAGTAATTTCCTCCCAGAAGGAAATGTGATGCTTGGGCAAAATTCCCTTGTTTATTTTGCATGGTCTTAACTTAAACTACACAAAAAACAGAAAGCAATGGCAGGAAGTGCCTTTCTGTGTCCTGGGGGGGATGGGGCTCTCCATGTGAAGCCTCTGGATGTTTTAGGATTAGTCAAGAATCCTCGGAGCGACTTGCCCAAAACACTAATTGTATTTGTGTCTCCGTCTTTAACTAGTGGCTTAGTCACCTATCATCATAATCCTTTCTTTTTTAACTAGAAAAAAAAATAAGGTTAAAACTCTATTTTTTATTTTTTATTTTTCTCCAGAAGAAATAATACAAATGCAAATTTGAATGTTTTTATATACTCTTTGTCTTTAGTAAATATTTAACAACCTTGATGTGGCAATGTTGTCTCTTTTCTTACCTCAGTTATCAAATGGTGGAAATAGAAAGCAAAGACCCGGACTCTGTCCTTAGCCATTAGTTAGCTGCTTTCCTCAGGTCAAGTGTCCATCCTGTAGTTCCGAAAAGAAAAGAATCAAAGCAGAGACAGTGCACATTGGGAGAAGTGGGGTTGCACATTTCAACAATCTCCTGCGACAGAGCGGGACTAGTCAACCACACGGTGCCGGTGGTAGGTGTATGGCGTTCACTGCAAATCTGATTCTAGATTATTGCTTGTCTTACATCACTTGGTTTTATTAGCAGATAACAAGCCTCAAGGGCAGGCAACATTTAGGAAAGTATTCTTACATTTTTATGGAAGAGGCAGAATTAGGGGCTTGTCATTTTCCAGAATTTTTTGTACGAAAGGCAGATAGATACTGAGTGTTTGAATGTATCACCTGCTGCCACAATAGGTTTTGAGATTTAATGTACTCAGTATTTTGTGTATTTGTTTGTTTTTACTTATACAAATAACACAGGAACAAATTAATATTGAAAAAATGAACCCATTATAGATAAAAGTTCCTTTGAAACCCTTGCCCCCCAAAATCTCACTCCCCACCCCATCAAATGAAATTACATATTCAGTTGGCTATACATGCTACATGCTTCAAAACCTTTTTCTTCCTTTTTTCCCCCCACAAATAGGCCTTTTTATTTGCCACCATTAAGTGTCTGAATTAAAAACATGGAACGCTTCACGGATTTGCGTGTCATCTTTGCGCAGGGGCCGTGCTAATCTCTGTATCGTTCCAGCTTTAGTATATGCGCTGCGGAAGCGAGCACCCAAAACTTTTTCTTATAGATTTTATACGCATGTACGTACCCACATGAAGTATGTGGTACGGTTGGTTTTTCATACATGGTATTGTAGCGCACCATACTTACCATTCCATGAGTAGCTCCCCTGCAGTCACAGCTTAGCGCTTTTTCTGAGCTCCTCGTAGTTCCACCTTGTTAAAACAGACAAACGTGTCGCGTTGTGTAGGGGGCCAGATTGGCTACTCTGTGTTATGTTTTTAGCCATTTCCCTATTGAGAAACGTTAAGCTTGTTTCTGTTTTCCTTTTTTGTTTCCTTTTCACCATCAAAACTAATGTTACAGATTTACCTGTGAACAAATGTGATTTTTGCCCCTGAGGTTAAATATCAAAAAGTGGGATGGCTACAGGGTGGCAATTAAAAGTTATTCAAATGTTTAAGTTTAATACAAACGATCAGTTTGCCTTCCAACATAACTTTAAGTCATCAGATCCAGCATACATTTCTTTTTATTTATTAAACTTTGGGATGGGTTCACCCTGGGATCCAAACAGTGCAGGACAGGAGGATATGAACCTAAGTCTTTCCCTCTAGGAAGATTTAGTATGGGCCCCCACATACTAACTGGCGAAAGAAGGCCAGGGAGACCAAACCCAATGCTAAAAAGGTTGGCTACTTATTGAAGGTGGGGGGGTGAAAATTGGATGGAAAGAAGGAAGAAATGGGAATAGGTAGCGAGAATGAGGTGCCACAACACTTCTCTGCGAATACCTCTATCTTTTATGTAGCTGGGACTCGTGGAACAAGGGTAATGGTTCACATACTTCCAAAGTAAATAGATCATTCAAATCAACCAGGATTAGAAGAGAACCCAAAGTAGAGCACCAACAATAAGGAACCTAAGCGTATTACAAATAAATAATATAACCACATGGAAGAGGCAGGGAAGAAATAACCTGACTTAAGTAACTGGAAAACAATAATTTGACTGGACACTATGAGGCTACAGATGAAAAAGACTGTACACAAAGATTATTGTTGAGTAGTACATTTGTTTCTCTCTGCGGCTCTCACAGAGGAGTGTAAGTAATTCTGAAACTATTTCATGTGCACACTAGTCTGAGACTCACTAGGAGACAAAAAACACATAGTAATTTGAACAAGGAAGATTTAATATAAAGAATTATTAACTATAACAAGGGATTGGAGAAATGAGGGACTGACTAGTAAGAAGTAGAGAGAATGCTCAAGAATATAAGGATATCATATATAAGTAGCAGTCACTGCCTAAGGCCCAGAGAGACAAGCCAGGGAGGAACCTCGCTCAGGGCAGAGATCCAGACCTTGTTGAAGAGGGTAAGGCCACGGTTCACTGAACGACAGAGAAGTCGTTGTGGTGCTGTGCTGTCAGAAATTGCCAGAAATCCACCCACCACGGTGCCAGGAAACGGTTCACGGGGAGGTGTGTCAGTGGAGGCCTTCTGCTATGAAGCTGCCTGAAAGGGCTGCAGGGGAACCCATGGGGCATGGGTGCTTCTTGCTGCTTATTACAGGAGCCAGCTGCTAGAAGATGATATGGGGGAAGCTGTCTGCACAGCAGGGGCTGGACATGGAAAAAGCACTCCTGCTGCAGGAGCTGGGTGCTGGAGACACCTGCTCAAGGGCCACTCACGATCTCCCTCCTTCCTCCTGCAATGTCTCTCCAACGCCCTCTACAAATGGTGTTTAACATCTTGCTCCCTGACAAAGGAAACTAAATGGATCACCTCTTCTTTTGCTTATCAGGTAATGAAGGATGAATTTGGATTTGAGAGGCAATCAATTGATAACTGGTAGAGTCCACCCCTTTATCCATCTGCTCCCTTTTACGGACATGAACTCTCATACAACAAAATCTTTTTATAATTCCACCTGATAAGAACAACCTTTTGTCTCAGAAATGAAGTTCTCAGCTCTTCCTGAAATGAGGTAACACACAATCCCCACAGTTACTGTAACCATAGCCAGCTATGTTAATTACTCCTTAAATTCAGTCACAGTTTCCCTGAATATTCTGTTACCTAGAGACTAAACTCTAAAGTTGACATCAGCAACTTGTACGTAAAATAAAAATGAGAAGAAAGTGGTTAGCATATACAAATAAACACATGTGTATAATAAGCTAGTAGAAAGGTAGTTGCTGGAATTGCCCACAAGGCTCTGATTCATATCTATGATTTCCTTCTTCACTGCCTGTTCAGTATTTTCCTCACTCTCAGGCAGAACTTAAGTTGTTTGGGGTTCTTTACCTGGTAGAGTGACCCAAGTCTTAATTCTCAAAGACTCTTGAGGGCTTAACTGTCCTGACTTTCTTGGTTGCTCTAGTTTTCCATTAACCTTTATTATTGGACATGGAAGTACTTACAGGCAGCCTGGAGAACTCCTGGGTGTATATGGACACAGAAATAAATACAGGTGCATGTGTATGTGGTGTCAGTATATGTGCGTATATTTACCAGTGCTGTCTGATGAGAGGGTCTAGCAGCTATGCCGCACCAGCAGCAATGAGAATGCCTACTGCCCAGATCTGGGTTTCTAAGTGTGATTTAAATTAAAAAGTGCCTTGGAGAAATTATTGATTCTAGCATTGGGACAGGGAAAATACAAGATGGTCCCAGGGCATCTTGTGCACAAGGAAGTCAGAACATGCTCCAAAATGATGGAAGCATGTTGAAAGGACACAGGACATATCTTGAAGGAGCCTTCAAAGGCCAATGATGAAAAAATTTGAGCAACAATAAATAATTGGTGTATTGGAAGAAAACCCACAGAGTGAAAATTCATGACCTCATACTTACATAAACAAGTAACTCAATAAATAAATGAATGGAAGAGAAGGCACAGGAGAATTGCAATGAATAAATATAGAAGGAATAAGAGAAAAATCACCGAAAACAGAAAAGTCACCATTAGAACACCATGTAATGATTGTTACATACAAGATTTATCCTAAAATTAGCTAGCAAAAGTCTGAAGATAAACAGGATATTCATACCCTCTAAATGTTTCTCCACCACACTATTAATTACAAGGGGGAAATGGTAATTTTATAGTGGAGATACCTGGCGTACACAATCCTGACCACGTGATGAAGAGTACAGTAAGACACAGTGACATCAGGCACCCCTGACATGATGCACAATATCGCATCTCTGACAGCCCTACCAAAATGTTATAGCTTCAATCCAGTCACGAAAAAAATCAGACAAATCCAAATTAAGGGATACTTTTAAGGACTCTTCACGAGTGTCAAGGTCATGAAAGACTGAGGAACTTTCAGAGATTAGAGGAGAATAAGGAGACATGAAAACTAAATGCAATGTGGGATTCTGGGTTGGATCCTGGACCAGAAAAAGGACATTATTGGACCCTTGATATAAGACGTGATGAGCAGGGCGAGTCACCTGTGTGGTCTTCCTCTCAAAAACCTGTAACCCCAGTCTACTTGTGACCAAAACATCAAAGTACAATGGAGGGGTTGCCTGCAAAACACGTAGTCAGTACTAAAAACTGTCAAGGTTATGAAAACAAGGAAAATAAGAAACTGTTGCAGCCAAGAGGAGCCTGAGAAGGACAAGACAACCAAATGTAATGTGATATTTTGGATGGGATCCTGGAAGAGAAAAGGACATTAGATAAAATGAAGGAAACTTGAACTAAGTATTGATTTCATTTATTAATAATATATCGATATGTATTCACTTATTGTGGCAAATGTACCATATACTAATGTAAAATGTTAATGAAAGGGGCTGCTGGGTGTGAGGTATACGGGAACTCTCTGTACTATCTTGTTGGCTTTTTCTATAAGTTTAAAATAATTCTAAAATTTGAAAATTTAATTTAAAAACAGAGACTAGGAAGAATGGTAAGATTCCAGTAATATCTGTAGGTTCCTCAGTAGTATTATATTAATGTTAAGTGTCTGGTTTTGATAATTGCGCTGTGGTCATATAAGGGATTAACATTAGGGGAAGCTGGATGGAGAGTACATGGGTACTCTTTGAACTATTTTTGTAACTTCGCTGTAAATTTTAAAATATTTCAAAAGCATATTTTAATGAGCTTGAAATATGGCCAGTTTGGGTTTTATTTTATTTTTTTTAAAGGAATCTAATCTATGGCCTTGCACACCATTCTCGGCATTGGCCTGGCAACGATATATGCATACTTTTAAAGGTATAGACTATGTCGAGTGTAGCCAATGTACATATGGCTCAATTTTACGGCAAGCAGCTTGGAAGTCATGAACAAAGCTGGAAGCGCAACCAAAGCAGTAAATGAGACCGCCTGGAAAGTCCCAGGGAAACACTGTGAGACATTACATAATGGCAGCCAGAACAAGGGAAGAATTTGTTTTAGGTTTCCAGTTTAAATACATATATTTATGAGCACTGAGGAATGCCAGTGGAAGTCATTGTCTGACCTCTGCAGTGAAGGGAGGGGGCGCTGTTCCCCCACCCCCACCCCAGCCTGTGCTAACCGGCAGGGTTTCCACCTGCCAGAGCAGGGATGCAGAGCAGCTGTCTCACCTGGCGCCTCAGAGCAGCTCCTGTGGGAGGAGGAAGCTGCCTGGCCAGGAGGGCACTTTCAGGCCTCTCAGGAGTCTCTGCGTTTTTGTTGCTCGTGTGAAGCTGACTTCTCTTGCTCTTAAACTTGGCTCTACACCTTGCTCTGAGACTGTTTTTGCAATCTGTCACTCCCTTGCTCCATCTCTAGCGAAATTTACCTCAAGAATTTCCTACTCAAGGGCCTTAGGATGGGAGACTAGAGTCAGGGCACATTGCATTTTTGTACAACTGACGGGTGCTGGTTGCCCCCCTCCCCCGCTCTGCAGTGAGAGTCATGTACTAGAAGGCTCTGACACATGGGATTTCTGCCTGCCGTTGCTAGGTGTGTAAATTATGTGACCGTGAGGATTTTCCCCTGCTGGGATTAACTCCGGAAGGTAGAGGAGATGCTCCCTGCACTGTGTCTCTTCCTCCT